GGGGGGGGGGCACACACTGCCACCAGCACGGACCCTCCTGCAGGTACCTGCAGGGCTGAGAGCTCAGGGGGGAGCATCACAGCCCCCCGCCCCCAGCCCAGCAGCATCACAGATGGCTGAGACCACGGCTGGGTGATTCCCCCCCCTTTCTATTGCAGGAGACTCAGGTGGCACAGCTGCTGGAGGCTGGCTTCAGGAGGGAGAACATCAGCACGGCGGTGATGGAGTTGGTGCCCCCCCGGGAGTGCCGCTACTACTCCTTCCCTCGGATGATCACCCCCCGCGTGGTGAAGCACTGAACAAAAAGGTCCCTGCGGCTGCAAACCTGCAGCGCAGCGTTGATCCAAAGGGGCTCACGCTGTCCTTTACTCTAAAAACAATTGTTTGGGAAATCGGGGGGGTCCGTTTCCGTGCAGAAGCCAAACGTGCCAGGCCAGGCAGGAGGAATGGGGAAGATGGGGCAGTTTGAGGCACGTTCCTCAGAACTGGATTTCCCATGAGTTTCCAGTGAAAGTTCCCTCATATTTTTGGCTGATGCCCGTTTTAATAAGCTCTGATTCTTACGACCCTCATACAATTCATAAATGACGTTCCCCCTCTCTACCCAGAAGGGCTAAAATCCATTAAATCAGACTGAAATACACAAAGGCTATTTCTGAGCAATTTATTTTTGTCTTTCGAAGCGCGCCTGTAACTGCAGACCATATGGGTGCACAGCACAGGGGTTCCCACAACACATCCACTGCCAGACCGATGCAATTCCTTCTGCTGTACACATCGAGGTGTGTTCCATCCCTTGTAGGAATTAAGAAACAAGCGGGCAGAGCTGAGCTCATGGACACCACGGGTTCCCCTGGGTGTGTGCTGGTCCCATAAAGAACCCCAGCACTGACAGCAGCCTGCAGCTGGGGGAGGATCCAGTGCCTGAGCTGCTTTCATTGTGAAAAGGAAAACAAATCCTGCACAGCCCAGCTGCTACAGCAGAGCTGTGTGTTCTACCTGAGCCAGAGGACTTCAGGCCTCCTGCAGCAACCAACCACACTCGGCAGCTGCAACTCCTAATGAAGCCAAAGAGCAACCCAAGGTTTCATGCCTCCCTTCTCCCAGGCATTTATTTCACTCAGGATAAGAGCAGTGTATTAAAGACAGGGCAGCATCTTAACCACGTACAGTTTTATTGGAAGGCCTGTGAAAACGGATATCTTTGTGCGTAGAAAGCAAGTAGGTGCCGCAGGCAGTGAAGGGGAGGTCATAAATAAGAGCCTATTTCCTATACCAGATCTGAATCTTCTTCTCTCGTTTGATTTTTTTCTGAAGCTGCAAGATGCCGTACAGCAAAGCTTCAGCCGTGGGTGGGCAACCTGAGGGGGAAAGAGGTGGCATCACCAACTTCATGGCAGCCCTGCTCCAACCCAGCGCCGTGGCTGCTCTCCTACCTGGCACATAGATGTCCACCGGTACGATGCGGTCGCAGCCCCTCACCACAGAGTAGGAGTAGTGGTAGTAACCCCCGCCATTGGCACAGCTGCAAAAGGTGTTTGTTAAGCACAGCTCAGTGAAACGTTAGCAGAGGCAAAGGCAAACGTTAAGCTGGCACCTGAGGGTAAGAGGTGCTTCTGCGTGTTGTGGGGACTGGGTGCTGGGATTTGCAGGGGGGCCGTTCAGTTTGAGCACAGAGCTGTGTGCCACCGATGGGACCTGGCTGGGAGGCAGGCTGCACGTGTGTTCTGAGCTGAATCAGACCAAGCTCAACCACTTCCATGGCTCTTACGAAGCAGATGTGGAGGAGCCCCTTTGCACACTGCAAAACCTCTTTTTTTTTTGTCACATGCACAAAGAACGTTTCTAGAACTCATTCTGTCCCATCCATCCTCAAGTTCAGCTGCACTCAGACCCAGCGGCACCGGGTCAGTTCTGCTGTGCCAACACTGTGGCTTCAGAGCCAGAGATCCACAGATCCCATATTTGATGCTGCACAGTGGAAACATTAAGTCCAAAAGCAAACTGAGATTTTGAGCATAGTGAGGCCTACAGAGACAGCCACAAATAAACCAACAGAACCTTTCATCGCAAAGAGCCAGCAGTTCAGAGGGACCTGACAAAATACTCTCCTAACCAAGAAGAAACGTTGATTTACTTTATTTCGTTAAATATCAAAGCCTTTTGTAAAGGGCTGAAAGGATGGAGCTCCCTCCCCCTCAGCCACATGGTTTCCCCCACCCAGCTTAAGGTCGTTACCTTCCCATGGAGACCACATAGCGAGGCTCTGGCATCTGGTCGTAGACCTGCAGGACACAGACAGATCAGAGCGCTCTCCATCCACGCGCAGCCCCCCTCGAGGCACCCATCCATACCTTTCGCAGGGCTGGAGCCATTTTGTTTGTCAGGGTGCCAGCCACAATCATGACGTCGGCTTGGCGGGGGCTCGCTCGGAACACCACCCCGAAGCGGTCCATGTCGTAGCGGGGAGCTGCCATGTGCATCATCTCCACAGCACAGCAGGCCAGGCCGAACGTCATCGGCCACAGGGAGCTCTGCAGTGGAGAGAGAGGGGTCATAGGATCACAGAATGGCCTGGGTTGAAAAGGACCCCAATGCTCATCCAGCTCCAACCCCCTGCTGTGTGCAGGTCGCCGACCAGCAGCCCAGGCTGCCCAGAGCCACATCCAGCCTGGCCTCGAATGCCTGCAGGGATGGGGATCCACAGCCTCCTTGGGCAACCTGTGCCAGAGCCTCACCACCCTCTGGGGGAAAAACTTCCTCCTAACATCCAACCTAAACCTCCCATCTCAGCTTAAAAGCATTCTCCCTTGTCCTATCACCATACATCCTTGTAAACAGCCATTCCCTTCCTGTTTATACAGGTATCAGAAAGCCATCATGAGGTTTCCCCGGAGCCTTCTCATCTCCAAACTAAACAAATCCAGTTCCCTCAGCCTCTCCTCATAGGAGAGGTGCTCCAGCCCTCTGATCATCTTCTGGACCCATTCCAAGAGCTCTGCGTCTTTCTTGTACTGAAGGTCCCAGATCTGGATGCAGTTCTGCACATGGGGCCTCACAAGAGCCGAGTACAGGGGGACAATCACCTCCCTCTCCCTGCTGGCCACTTCTCTTTTAATGCAGCCCAGGATGTAGCTGGCTTTCTGGGCTGCAAGCACGCACTGCTGGCTCATGTCTAGGAGTTGGGGGGGGCACACTGAAAGCAGAGACGCCATGCAGGTGACTGACAGAGCAAAGTGTTTTAAGACAGCAGCAGCGACTCACCCTCCGTGCCCAGTTGATCAGGTCATCGAGTTTGGTGATGACGTATTCCCCCCTGCTCGTGGGGACGTAGGACTTTTTCGGGACAACAGCTGAGCTCTTTGGCTGCGCTTGGATGGAGCTGAGAACAAACAGGTCGCTCCCAGTTATTAAGCACGGAATGCGTTAGCATCGAGATGTCACTTCCCAGGGAACCCACAGAGATGTTCTGCTCCTTCCCAGCAGCAGTGGGGTTTCACCCCGTGAGAGGAGCCTGGCTGGTTACCTGTCTGCATGTTGGGCTGCAGATGTCTGATGGAGCAGCTGAGCAGGAGGGGATGTCACCGTGCTGGGCCTGCAGGAATGAGAGCCACTGCCACCAAATCTCAGCCGGCTCGACGATGCAGAACAAAAGCGATTCGCTCAGAGCCGGGGGGAGGGGGAATGGGACTCCCACGGAGCCCCATCTTTTACCCTCAGCCGCCCCCCTCCCCAAAACCCCCCGGCCCCGCTCACCGCCAGGCCAGCAAGGCACGCCGCGGGAGGCCGAGACCTGCAAGGAGAGCACACGGAGCTCAGCGAGGAGAGCACACGGAGCTCAGCCCCAGCCAGTGTTGGGGGACGCACCCGGCCGGCGTTCAGCGCGTCCCAACCCGGAGCTGAGTCCAGAGCTGCCACCCAGGATCCCCGCCATCCCGCACCCCGGCCCGGTCCCACCCGCAGCCCCGCACGGCCTCGCCCCGCTTCCCGTCGCCCCCCGGCCCCGCTCACGGCGCAGCGCCGCCATGTCCCGCAGCCCTTCAGGGGACCTCTGGCCGCGGTGCACCGCACATAACGTTCCGGCAGCGCGCGGTCCGCTGCTTCAACGCGCCGGTGGAAAGCGAGGGCGGCGCGGGAGGTTCCGCTGGGCGCGGAGCAGCGGCAGAAAGCAGACGACCGGCGGCTGTGTATCCGAGGTTCCGGTGCGGCCCCGAGCGCAGCGCCCTCTCCGAGCACATAAATATATTAAAAAAAAAAACAAAACAGGAAACAAAAACCAAGCGGCCGTCCCTGGGTGGGCTCGAACCACCAACCTTTCGGTTAACAGCCGAACGCGCTAACCGATTGCGCCACAGAGACCGCGCTGCCGGCGCCGCCCCGCGACCGCCGCTGTGGGAATGCGGGCGGGCGGGGCGCTGCGGGAACGGACGGAGCGGTGCGGGGCGCGACCGCCTCCACCGCCCCGCGCGAACCCCCCTACAGTCCCCCCTCCCCCCCAACAGCGGAGTCACCTGACAGGAAGTGGGGGGCCGCCGCTGTCACGCAGCCGAAATAGCTCAGTTGGGAGAGCGTTAGACTGAAGATCTAAAGGTCCCTGGTTCGATCCCGGGTTTCGGCAGAACGTTTTGGAGCCGCCGCAAAGGGCGATTCCCTTCCTCTCCCCCCAACCCCATTTTATTTCTTAACGCAGCGCTCAGCTTCGAGTTTATTGACACGCATCACCTTTCGCTGTGATGCCCCAATTAAGCATTCTGCAACTGATCACCGCTGTCACACAGCTGCAGCACATTAAACTTCAGCTGGAGCGGGGCTTAGGTACAAATCAGAGAAAGAAACACGACTGAAAGCGTGCCTGGAAAACATTATGTAAAGACAGGCTGCAAAATAGGGTTGCTTTTAGAAAGGAAAACAAAACAAAAAAACAACAGCTTTTTCTTTTTAAGAACACACAGACCTCATTGGTTCCCCCCCCAGCCACAAAGAGCCAGGACTGAGTTTGCTTCACTCAGAACCAATTTTATTCCTCACACCTTTAACGACAGATAAAGGAAAAGAGCCAACCCTGTCCCAGCCTTTGGCTCCGCAACGCCAGCCTGCGTTCTTCTGAGGACAACAGAGGCTTCTTTCCCACCGAGTCCACATCAAGGGCACAGAGCAGCAGCATACACAGCTCACAGCACTTCCAGCAGCACAGAGGTGAGAACAAGGACTGTAGGTACAACTGTGCGTGGTGGTAACGTAATGCAGCACTGTCACAGCCGCAGCTTTGGAGATGTAACAAGGCTGGGGTGTAATTGGGAAAGCGTTTGCTGCCGTTCACACGCTGCCTGCAGCCATCAGCTCAGCCTGAAGCCTTTTCCTCTCCAGAATTTCTTCGTCAAACTCTTCCCTCTCCCTAAGAGCAAGGAGGAAGGCTGTTAATCCAAGCAGAACTCAAAAGTGTTCAAGCTTCTGCAGAGCTCTGCATGTCGCAGGAACTCTGTGTTTAACCATCCCAGCACTTAAATGAGACCCCTTGTCTTGCTGGAGTGGGTGCTGAACTTCCCACTGCTCCACACAGACAGTAAACCAACGAGGAAAACCCGGAGATGCTGAACATAGGAACGTACCTTTTGCTCACAGATGGTCCTTTCATGTATTTCTCTTCTGCCTTTTTGTAGTCTATATCGTCCACAGCAGAAATGGCATAAATGATAGCCTATAAAAGCATTTGGTTCATTGACACGAGCAAAAGAAAAACCTCAGTTACAAAATTAAAAGCAGGCTTGAAGTCGTGCTCATTGCCTGAGACATCTTTGGGATGAGACTCCCTTTGCAAACCTGGATGCACCTTTGTAGGGAAACCCAATAGGTGCTACAGATTTGTCCTTCAGCACACCCAGGACACTGCTTTTACAAGGAAAATAAGATTCTCTTAACAGCAAATCTGCTCCCACACCTTACCAAGGCTTTCCCAGGCAAAGCTCCTGAGGGAGCAAATTTAGGCCCAGCCCCTTGAGCTCAACTGCACCCAGGGCAGCAGGTGGGCTCCAATCCACCCAGATCATTCCAGCAGTCACTGAGCTTAAGCTACGTTACCTACTTCAACATTCCCTTTATTCAGTGTTTCACGTTTACTTACTTCAGGCAAAAGGACATCTAAAATAAATTTTACTCCATCCCCAAGCAGCCGACGGAGGTCTGCAGTGTCTGTTTCGTGGTACGCCACTTCCTTCAGGTAATTCACCACCAGCTCCAGCTGCTCCTCATCCTCTAAATAAGTTTCCACGCAGGTTCCGTACTGCCGGGAACTCAGGAAATCCTTCATCCACCTGGACTCCTTCCTGCACTTCAGGACGGCCAGCAGGTGCTCCTCTGCCCCTTTGGTCTTCACGATGAACTCCACGATCTTTTTGTTGGCTTTGTCCCTGGCAGCCCTGGTTCTGTCAGGCAGCAGCTTCCTGCAGGGCTTCTGAGGGGAAGTTTCTAACGCAGAGTCCTCCAGATCTTCCTCTGCTACGTTGGGAAAGGTCATTTGGGCTGAGCTCTGCTGGTACTGCTTCCTGACAGGGTAGCCTGCAAGAAAAGCCACCACCATTCGGACTCAGGTAAAATAAGGGGCTTTCTGGCATATGCACTTATATGCAGACCCCAAATAAGGGCTTTCTTGATGAGGAGGGCTTTTCCTTCCCCTCTTGAAGGACGGGGAGGGACTCGCCTTGAAAACAAAATCACACTGCAGAATGTATTGAGATGAACACGAGCTTTGAGAACAGCTTGCTCCAATGTGAAGTTGTTCACAACCAGCTCACTGATTACACTCAACTTCCACTGTGGGATTGAAAGCCTCAGAGCACAACCAACAGCAGGTTTCAGCGAGCCCTGCCAGCCCAACCCACAGCCTTGTACCAAATCAGAGCCAAGCTTCTCTCCTAAAAGTCCCAGCAAGAAACCTCCCTGCCAATTCACTTACTGATATCATCAGCAAAGTATTCCAAGAAGGATCCAGTAAACGAATGGCAACCTGAAAAGCCCAGAGAACAGGTTGTTATCAGTCCAGCTACAGCAACAGAGCTGGCAGTCTCAGTTTGTGACTGCAGGTCTGGCTGCCTTCAGCACACAGCACTCACCCACTCTGATCCGATAGTCAGAAATCAACTGAATGCACCACTCAATTTCCTGGCAATAGTCTTTTTTGGCTTGGTCCTGCAAGAGAGGAGCCACACACAGGTCTAAGTGCTGCCTGTCAAAGGAGCAGCAACAACTAATCCAAGCTCACCTCATTTCTTTTATATTGTCTTGCCATTCAGTTTCTGTAATTAAGCACTGAGCGTGGCTTTGGCATATGTGGAAAACAAGTGAAAACACAGTTGGAACCCTAAACAACCAGCTCCCATCCACTGCCCACGTTCTCAGCAGCACCCATAACCTGACCAAGGAGGAGCCTATTCCCATGTATAATCTAGTTTGTGCAACACAATTATGTTTAAGAAATGTATTGAGTGGAAGAGGATCTTAGGAGAGAGCAGCCAAGGTGAGAGCAGACACCCGGGCAGGGTAAGCACACACTGCATGCAAGATGTTTTGTATGCACTGCAGCCAAGGGTTACTTGTAGCACTTACAATCAGGTCCTGCTTTTCTTCACAGTCAAAGTGCTTCAGGTTCCGAAGAGACACTGAGAAACTTGGTGACACACACAAAAAAAACAAAGTTAAGGATGGAAGGCGGCCAAACCTGCAGCTGCTCCTTCACAGGGCTTTCACACCATCCCCAAAAATCAGCCTGAGGAATTCCCCAGCACAGCTCACGGAGGAAACAGAACAGAGCCCAAAACAGAGGGATCCCACCTGATCCCAGCCCTGCCATCCCACCAACAGGAGGCTGCCCAGCACCTGAGCAGAACCCACAGCGCTCACCTCTTGTTCTTCTCGCTTGTGTTGCCCTCTATGAAGAGCACGTTTGCCTTCCTGTGCTTCCGCTTCACGTTCTTCACCTGCAGCAGAGGAAGGGCTGATGGCATCAAGCCTCACATCCTTACCAAGCAGAAGCACCTGCAGCCCTGCCACGAGCCCCACATCACAGCACCCCATGCAGCATTCTGTTATCACACCAAGGATTTATTTAATCCTCACAGAAGGCTGCAGTTGAACTCGTGATACAGGAGCTGAGGAGGAATCCTCTGCTCCAACAGAAGCAAACGCTCCCCAACCACATTTATTTCACGTGTGCTTTATTATGTGCAGCTTTTCTGTTATCCTTGGTTTCACTGCAGTTTCTGATTTAGCAGACAAGCACAACAGATCCCACACAGGACAAGAAGGGCAAGAAAGGCTCAAGAACTGTCAGTTGTTCCCCATCAGCCCCCAGCAAACATCACATCCCTGTGAACAGCGAGCTGCTCTTACCACTGCTGGCCAATATGGGTATCTTTGCCACTTGCACCACACCAAAATCCCTTTGTCAATTGATTCTGGTTCTGTAAGGAAAGAGAAAAGCAGGAAAAGTGAATTCATGCTGCCTCATCACACAGGGAACATCCAGCGAGTTCTGCTTTGATGCTTTTACAGATCCCAACTGAAGTAGCACAACATCCTGCCCTCACACAAGGCAAGAGCTCTGAATATACAGAAATTATATTCTATATACGAGACAAAAGCTCAGAAGTCTCAAATCTCAGACCCTTGCCCAGTTTCACATTGTGTGGCAAGAAATGCTGTCCCAAACAGCCCTCCTGCAGCACCCAATGAAGGCGTTTTATCCCAAGCCTGAGCAAAGCTGGATTTGTTTGCTAGAAAGATGAGGTTTCACCATCAGGGTTTACCAGAACTTGTCAGCAAGTCAGCAGCACACAGAAACCAACAGGGCGTGCTGATGCTGCTGAGGTCTCAAGGAAATACCACCCATGCCTCACCTTGATGAGACAGAATGCTGGGAAGCTCTTCCTCCTCCTCCTCCTCCTCCACCAGATCTGAGAGCTGACACAGCTTCTCACAGAACGCCCTCTCAGAAGACAGCCCAGAGGGCTCCAGTCCTGCAACAGCAACACAGCTGTGAGCGTGGCACAGCCCTCACCCCAGTGTGAGAGCAGCAGTGTTACCCCGCAGCAAGGGGAGCCACGGGGCACCTGTAACACCACACAGACCTCAGCCTGGGTAAACAGCCTGAACGTGAGGCAAAAAAAGGGAGAGGAGCCATAGGAAAGGATGCTGCTTTCAGGATTCCGTCCCCTTCTGTCCCTTTATATAACCTGAATTCCCCAGGACTTGAAAACACAGAAGGATTCAACCCAGCAGCTCCAGAACCACCTCCACAAAAACACAACTGCTACAGTGATAAACGGCGCCTGCGCATCACAAGGAATGCAGATTGCACACCCTAAGAGCAGCGTGCCCACCTTCCTCTTCCTCAAAGTCGGGCAGGTGGAACTCCTTTGTTTTGTCCATAACCTCAGGCGGCTCATCCTCATCCTCCTCCTCTTGCAGCCGAGAGAGAACGCCATCAGACAGCACCCTGCAGTCAGACAGCCCAGCTGAAGGCTCAGGGCTGTTTCTGCACTCCTTTTTCCTGGACGAGGACGTTCCTGCCTCGACCTCTTGTTTTCCTTTCGCTTGCTTCAGACTCCTTGCCTTTTTCCTCTCATTTACCTGCTTGGCTCCGTTTCTATTCTCGCTTCCAGTGCTCCTCTGTGACACAGAGGCATTTCTGGAAGACGAGCGCAGTAACATCTGGGCTCTGGGCTGCTGCCTGGTGCTCACCCTGCTCCTCCCAGGCAGCGCCGTGCCAGAGCTGCAGGATGCAGACACAGAAGCGCCCTCAGCAGGGGGCTGCCCTCGGCCTTTGGAGGAACCATTTGGAAGTGACCCAGGCGATCCTGCACCTCTTGCTCTCCTTCCTTGCTTACATTTCTCCTCCTTTAGCTTCAGTGAGGCTTTATTACTCGTTAGGGATTTTTTCAACCATCTGGGCTTTGTTTTTTTCTCTCTTGATAACGGCGGTGATCCCTGCACTGTGCAATTCTCACTGTCTGAGTTTGATGTGTTGCACAGCTCCCCAGTGCTACGCTTTGAGAGTTTTGTTCCGTTTTCATTCGCTCCAGGACTCTTCTCTGGAATTAAAGAGCACCTCAGGTTTTGTTTTTTTGTACCAGTCCTCAGGTTGGGGCTATTTCTCTGCTTTCTTTTCCTGCTGAGGCTCTCAGACTCCAAGTCTTCCTTAGAGAGTGGCTGACAGCTGCTTAATGGGGAAGACGAGAGAGACCTGGCACCATTGGCCTGGGATGAGCGAGTACTTGGCCCTGCCTTCGAAGGTGGCTCTTCTCTGGTTGGTACATTTTCTTCCAAGGAATCCAAGGCAGTTTTAAGAGCACAACGATATTTCAGTTCTTCCACAGCCTCATCTGGATTTATCTTTTCACCTGATGAGGAAGAAGAGGCAGTAAGCACAACCACCTTTGTTAGTGTACCAGAAACAGAGTTGCATCTACGTTACACCCTTTTCCTGAGGCAACATCGAAACCATCTGTGATTTCTGAGGCGAAGAAGCAGACAGTACAAGGTAACAACGCCATGCAGATACACACAAGTTCCCTCCCCATTCCTTCAGGAGAAACCCAAGTGGCTTAAGAACATCTAGTCTATTTTCAATCTTCACTGATTTAATGGGGAGAGAAAGGGGACAAAACCACAGGAGACACCCCTGGAAACACAACAAAACTATTTTCCACCAAACTGAAGATCTGATTTTCTGAGCACAAAACGCAGCAGGCAACAAATGCTCTATGCTCACTTAAGCTAGAGACGATGTCCTCTATGCTCGCTTCCTCCAGGGGCACAGCATCCTCCTGCTTCACACTGACCCTGAAAACACAACAGAACGAGGCTGCGAGTCACTCTGCTGATTGCAGGGATGCTTTCACATTAAAGCTCACATTTTTTTTTTTTGCTTGCATTTAAGAGCAGAAAGAAAACGGTAACAGAGATACTCCACCTCTCTTTTAGGCTGATTATTTCAACCTCCAGAACCTCCTGTGCGTTGGCGATAGGGGGATCCTCAGCAAGCCCATGCTTTGACAAAACCTACACGAAAAAAAGAGGCATTTCAAGCGCTTTACGAGTGCGTGGAGGCTGCAGGACAGGCCTGACTTCACAACGACTTTCGAAAGCATTTCGTTGCTTTCTTTGCAACATATCCCCCTTTTCCCGACTCAAACGCTCCCAGGAGCCGACAGCACCCAGCTGAGCCGTCAGCCCCGCCCCTCGCGTAGATCACAGCCCCAATTTCAGCCCTGTTCCCACACACCGGAGCTGCCATCCTCACCCTTCTCCATCCCCCAGCCTTACTTTACCTTCGCCGGCCACAGCCGCCCCCTCCAGCGGCACAGGACGCAGCCCCGGTTCGCCATGCGTTTCACACAGGGAAGGAGAAGCTCTGAGGTAAAAGGAATAAAGCATGACCAGAACTCGGGGCGCTCCAGCCGCCTCCTTCCAGCCCTTCGCGGCGTAACGCAGCACTCGAACGGCTCTCAACCGCCACCACGCGGCGCTTTAACTCCCAAACGGCGGCACCGCCGCTACCGGGACCCGGCACCGAAAGCAGCGAACGCCCGCGGCCTCCGCCCGGCAGGAAGGGGAAGGAGGAGGAGGAGGAGGAGAAGGAGGAGGAGGAGGAGGATCCGCTCCACCTCGCCCCACCCCTCCGCCCGCAGCTGGGACCCCGCCGCCTTCCCGCCCACCGCGCCTCCCCCTGCGCATGCGCCGCCCTGCTCCTAGCAGCACTACAGCCAATCGACTCCCTGCTCCTCCTGCTTCCCGCCCTCTCTGCACGGCCAATCAGTGCGCCCGGTTTTCTGTTTGCTCCGCCCTAATGGAAAGGGCGGGAGGAACTCCCCGCCTCTCCGCTAGTGAGCGTCACTTCCGCTTCCGCCGAGGCGGTGACGTCACGGGGGCGGAGCCACGTGCGCGCTGCGAGCACGTGGGCGGCCCGGGAGCTGCAACCCACGGCAGTCCCGCACCGTGGGGTTGCGGTGCCCGAAGGGCAGCACCCAGCGCTTGGTGTCGTTGGGCCTCAGCCCAGCGTGAATAGATTGACCGGTAGTCAGCCCAGTCTGAACGGATTGACCGATAGAGCCGGAGAGGAGTCGTACCGCATGGGCGCAGCCATATTGGCTTCCAGCCATTCAGACACAGCACGCGTTAGGACGTTAGATGTTTTTATTTGTTGTCTATGCTCTTTTATAAATACCTGCGATATTGAAAATGTAACCACTATACCGAAGAAATAAGTTATTAAAACACATTCTGAAAACAGCATACAGACCGAAATGGCGTGTCCCATAGGATTGACACTGCTTTCCCTACCTCCAAGTACGGATGTTTGTGGAATAATACTTTGTTGACAGAAGAGACAAACTCCCTTTTTTTTTTTCTTCTTTTTCTGGCTACAATTTCCCCTGGGTTGTCTCCCTAGGATGACACTTTATTACCCATTATCGCAGTGATGCTACCAGGAGCAGTCTGAGGGCAGAGCGATGTCCCTGCTCCTGTGCTGAGCTCCCTGGCCTTCTCCTGCACAATGTTTTAAATCTGTCCTTCACGTCAGAGTGTATGAATTAATACCTGATTTAATAAATAGCAGACGTGAAGTTCAGGCCCCATTGTTGAGAATGGACACTTCCATGGGGTTTGCACATCTGCAGGATGGAGAGCAGAGCTCAGAGCAGTCTGCATTCTGCCCCCTGTCTTCAAGCAGGGAAGGAAGAGAGGAAATAACAAAAACGAGCATCATTTCCTTTGTCCATTCTCTCATGCATCTGATCTCTCCTCTATAATTGGCTTTATGAGCACCCTAAACATAAACAAGCACAATAAAGCGTGGATCAGCCCTTACTGTCATCCTTAGGATTTCTGTTTGTGCTGTAAATAAGTACAAAAGTCACTGTGTTACGTTTCCCTTCCTGCATCCCTGGTTACAGCTCTGCATCTACCAACCAACCCTCTCCAGACCGTGTCTGCAATTGCAGCTCTCAGCTTAAGCAAAGCTGTACCTTTTGTCTGCAGTCCCTTCTCTCCAGCACGCATAGTATGGCTTTTCCTGTCTCATTTCTTCTTCTGTATTAAAATCCACAAATGTTCATCCTGCAGCTTGGTAAAGAAATGCCTAAAAAAATCTCATTTTCAAGAAGTTTGTCCTCGGATTTCATTAGTCTTAAAAAACCAAACAGAAATGCAGTATAAACTCCTCGTCCCCAATGGAGAAACAACAGCACCGTGTTACAAAGCCTGACGCTGCCCCGTAGAAATAATTGCATTGTTCTTCATTAAAACACAACCAAGGCAGCCCTCCTCACCGCCAGCCCTGCCGCTCCCACACAGCACACACCGCACCGAACACCAGGACGAATGAAACCGCAGCGTCACGAAAGCACGAATCAAACAGAGCTCATCTACCACCTAAAGACACCGAGGAGCTGCAGGCAGGCGGTTTTTGGGGGGAGGTCCGACCCTCCCCTCCCCCCTTCTGCAGTGGGGCTGGTGGGTGCAATGGGGCTGGAGACTGAGCGCGCATTGCTGGCCACCCCCCCCCCTGCAGTGATGCCTTTGAGGACTATTTACAGAACTCTGTTGTAGAGATAACGGCGACAACTCGCTGCCTTTGTTGGGAAGGTGAAAGAAATCCTTTTTTCTTTTTTTCTTTTTTTTTTCCCTGCTGTTTGCTCCTCGCTTTTAAGCAGCCGGGACACTCGTAATAACGCCACAGCAGCCAAAGCTGTTGGGTTGTTGGAAGACAGGAGTCGCCAGCGCTGCTTCCCTGCGGGGTGGGGATGGACAGCAGCCACAGCAGCACCGTGACACCACGCAGGGATGCACCCCGTCCTGCCATCCCCACGGCTGCCCCAGAGCCCCCCGCGCTGCTGCTGGGAGCCGGGCACCATCAGCTCCTGCAGCTCGCCCCGTTGATGGGCATTTGGGGCACAGCAGGGAACGCCTCCAGCTCCTCGGATGCAGCGGTGGCCTCAGTGCTCCCCCGGGGGCCCCCCCGGCTCCTGGAGCAGTCGTGGTGGCCGTGGTTGCCCAAGCGGCTGGAAGCCACCACGGCTTTCATGGCAGCCTGCAGGCAGAGCGTGATGGCGTCAGTAGGAATGATGCACACACACAAACCTGGTTCAACCCCCAGGCTGCCCCCGCTCGGCGTTTTGCCGCTCAGAGCAGGGATTGCTCAGCCCCAGCGAGCGCAGCCCATGGATGGGACAAGTTTTGTGCAAGAGGAGGAAAGTGGGAGGGATCCGTCAGGTTTTACCTTCAGTTTCCTCCTGGCGTTAAATTCCTGCAGCTTCTTTTGTGTGCTGTCCATGTGGGCAAACTTGGCTGCTTTTCCAGTCACCCAGGGATGCTCCAGAGCCTGATAGACCGTCAGTCTCTTCTGGGGATCCAAGACGATCAGTTTTCTGACCTGCGGCCGATTTCAACATGCAAAAAAAAAACAAGCCAAAATTGTCATTTGTCGAGTGCCCCCCGCACCCAACCCCTGTGCAATGCTCTTGGTGGACTCACAGCCTGACGTTTGCAAGGAATACAGATGCACAGGAGCAGAGAAGCATTTGACACCGCTCCATTTGGCTCTATTTGACTCTTGGCTCCGTCATTCTTACACCCGATCCACTCGCCTCACACAGCCTCAAGCTCTGCCCTGAAGCTCAGTGACTCACCAGGTCCTTGGCATTGAGGGAAACCTCGTCCCACCACGGGGACACGAACTCGTAGTCGCAGGTGAGGATGCGGCTGTACATGTATTGGTCCCCACGTGGGTCAAAGAAGGGCTCAAACCCGCAGAGCCTGGAAGGAGCAGAGGATTCCCAGTGCCCCCAGGCCCCCACGCAGGGACACGGCACAGCCAGGGGCTCACAGCCCATATGCAATACTCACAGGATGTAGGTGATGACACCCACCGACCACATGTCCACCTCAGGGCCGTAGGGGCAGCCGTGCAGGATTTCAGGGGCTGGAAGCAGAGATGGGGGTTAAAATCCAGGAGGAAAACCCCTCGTGGGCGCCTCCTGCGTGCAGAACTCAGCACGGAGCTGATTTGTGTTGGGGACTGATGACAAACAGGATTCGTGCATCACAGACTTTTGCCACCTGTCCTCATCTCCTTCCAGCCCCCAATTCTGGGCTCTCTGTGGGGCAGACTGCAGAGGACTTGTCAGGCAGGAGGTCCCCCTTCCTCCCCTCCATGTTCCTCTGCCCCACACCCCCACTGCTCACCGCAGTACCCCGGTGTCCCACAGACGGTTTTCATGGTGTCCTGCTCATCCACGATCTTGGAGAGCCCGAAGTCACCTTGGGGACACACAAGCAGGGGTCAGACTGATGGGTGCCCACCAGGCTTGGAAGCCCCGGGGTGCAGCCCCTCTGCTCAGCACCCACCGATCTTCAGGGGAGCGTCGGGGGACAGGTCTGCATACAGCAGGTTCTCCGGCTTCAGGTCCCGGTGCACCACTCCATTCTCATGCAAATACTGCGGAGAGAGACGGCGGGGATGGGGGGAGGAAGGAAAGGCTTTAGCAGGGCAGCAGAGGAAGGACGTTTCCCATTCAGAGTTTCCATTTTTAAAACCTATCTGTTGCCATGGAAACCCCATTTCCAGGTTGCGTGGCAGTGACCTTCCCCAGACAGCACGGCTCTGGGCCTGCAGCGATGCTCCCAGACCCACAGCGATGCCCCCAAACCACAATGGGGACACGGAGACGTTACCAACACAGCCTCCAGGATCTGCTTGACCACGTGGGCCGCATCCCGCTCACTGTAGAAGCCCCTCTCCACGATCCTGTGGGTGCACAGCAGTCAAGACGTGCCCTCATCCCCCATCCCCAACCCCATAGGGGTGTCCTTCAGCCCCTTTCCGTCCTCACCCTCCCCTGGGGCTGCGTCCCCTACCTGTCAAAGAGCTCTCCTCCTGTCACCAATTCCAGCACCAGAGCAATCTCCGAGGGTGTCTCGAAGATCTCCTTCAGCTTGATCTGAAAGGGATGAGAATGGGTGGCAGCAGATGGGGTTGTGCCATTGGGATGGGGCTGTGCCATTGGGATTTGCCATTGGGGTCAAGGCTGTGCCATTGGGATTGGGGTTTGCCTTGGGGTTAAGGCTGTGCCATTGGGACGGGGCTGTGCCATTGGGATGGAGCTGTGCTATTGGGATTTGCCATTGGGGTTAAGGCTGTGCCACTGGGGTTGGGACTGTGCCATTGCGTTGGGGCTGTGCCATTGGGACAGTGCTGTTTCATTGGGATTTGCCATTGGGGTTAAGGCTGTGCCATTGGGATTTGCACTGGGGTCAAGGCTGTGCTATTGGAACAGGGCTGTGCCTTTGGGGTTAAGGCTCTGCCATTGGGGTTAAGACTGTGCCATTGGGATTGGGATTTGCCACTGGGGTTAGGGCTGTGCTATTGGGGTTAGGGCTGTGCTACTGGGGTTAAGGCTGTGCCATTGGGATTGGGATTTGCCACTGGGGTTAGGGCTATGCTATTGGGGTTAGGGCTGTGCTACTGGGGTTAAGGCTGTGCCATTGGGATTGGGATTTGCCACTGGGGTTAGGGCTGTGCTATTGGGGT